TCACCCCAGGAGCATGCATGCAGGGAAGCGGGGGCGCCAAGTCGTGCCAGTTTCGCCTGCCGCTCGTGAGCACGTGTCGTTTGAGCTGCTGCTTCTTCTTCTTCTCGTCGTCCTCCTCCTCCTCCTCCTCCTCCTCCTCCTCCTCCTCCTCCTCCTCCTCCTCCTCCCTCTTATCTTTTGCTTCCGCCTGCTCATTCCCCCTCCCCCCTGGCCCGGGGCAGCGAGCTGGTTTCTCCAGGAGGGCCGAGGGGCGCGGAGGTGGCCGCGCGCCGCCCCGCGGCGCGCAGCGCGAAGGCGACTTCTTGGAGCGGCCCCGGGGCCTTCGTGGACCGGGGGCAGGAGGAGGGGCCTGCGTTGACCGGGGGGCAGGAGGAGGGGCCTCCGCGCGCTCTCTCCTGCGCGTTTCGGGCCTTCGTTGACCGGGGGCGGGAGGAGGGGGGGATATAGGACGTGAGGGGCAGGAGTCGCCGTGCTCCTGGGCGCGATTTTCGGTACGGGTGATGGCCACGAGCTGGCCACGGGAGGCACACTCCTCGAGACTCGGGCAGGCTCTTTCCCCGCCGAGGCGGCGGCACTGGTTGAAGGCACGACGGTAGTGCGTAGATTGGTGGATCGCTTAGCGCATGCAGGATGAGCACACACAGTGACATGGCGGCTCATGTGGGTAGACTTCAGGCCGAAGGACGAAACGAAAGGAGTCGCCTTGAAAAACAGGGGTCCTCAGGGAAGCGGGTCCTCTGTAGGTTTTTGTTCCCCGCCCTCCTGTGCTGGGTTCTCGTTCCGAAGAACTGCGGTGTCCACTCCTCCTCCGCTCCTCCTCCACCCTCCTCCTGCCTCCTCGTGCGCTGCTCCCTGGGTGGCTGCGAACTGCGCAACCGTCGCCACCTGGGGTGTCCAGCGGAGTCTGGGGGCGACCTCGCTGCTCCCTGGGAGGCCGCGAAGTGGGCAACCGCCGCCTCCCTCGCGGGCTCCTGGGAGGCGCGGCGGAGGTGATGGCAGCGCAGATCCACTTGAGACCTCGCGGCTCCCTCGGGGGCTGCGAAGGGCGCAGCTGTCGCCACTTTTGTGGTCGCCTGGGAGGCACGACGGAGATGCGGGCAGCGCAGATCGTGCACATCTGGCGATGCGCTCTTTTGTATGGAGCGGTCGTACAACTATTCGCCTCGCGTGGAGAAGAGGTTGAGCATGTCTCGGATAATTATTTGTTTCTGGGTCCCAGGGCCTGGGGTAGCTCCGGTCCCCCCCATGAGAGAACTCTTCGGGACGAAGAATAAACGGTCTTTGAGGGAGCCCCCGGGTCGAGGACATGGTGCTCTCAGGGCCCGTTTCTCCGTACCAAGGAGAAGGACAGGAGAAGAAGAAGGATAATGATGGTACAGAGACGAAGACGGGGAAGGGGATAAGGACGAAAATGGTACCAGAACCGAAACGGAGAAGGGTTATGCGTAGAATGAGGAGGATGGGGGTGGGGAGGGAAGGTGGACGCTGAGGACGAGGACGAGGGGGGGGAACAAGGAGAAAGTTCTCCCCGTCCTCGTCTCCCTTCCTCCTGAAGGAGTGCAAAGGAGCCAAGCACAGGGGGAGGACGAGGAGGATGGGGATGGGGATCAAAGGGGGTGGGAGAACAACGGGCCATGCGGCGTGTGGACGGGAGGAGGGGGAAGAGAAGAGGGACCGCTCGCAGAGTCTCGTGTACGGAGCTCGAGCTCAGTCCAGCAGTGGCTTGACGCGTGCACTGACAGAGGCTACCGAGACGTACGTGCTGCACCTGTGCGATGCTGTGGAGGATGCGCCATTTGTGGGTTTCGTTCGCTCGTTGCGTTGCAGAATTTGCGATGGCTTTGTCTCCGTTTTTTCTTCGGACAGGAAGGCCTCTCATTCCTCGTCTTCGTCGTCGTCCCAATCTTATTGCCGTTTACCTTATCCGAACATCTTATATATTGTTGAGCAGTTGGTCGATTTCGGCAGCAGCCGCTCACTTGTGATTCAAGTGGTTTGCGCCATTCCGCCGACCCCCCAGGTTGGGCCTCTTGGAGGGTTCTTGGGGGCATTGGAGGGGCTTTTCGGGTCTTCTTGCGGGTCCCTTGGGGGCTTCTTTGGGACCTCGTGGAGGCTTTCGGGGGCTCTTGGGGGCGCCTCGGGTGCTTCTGGGGGTCTCTCGGAGCCATCTTGGGGGCTGGAAAGGCTCGAAATGTCAGTCAGTATTCCTATTATTGGGTCCGTCTTAGGGTCCTCTTGGCGCTTGGGCCGTCTTGGGAGCCCCTGTGGCCGTCTTGGGGCGCCAAAGCCCCAGGGAGCGTCGAGCTGGCCCAGGGAGCGTCGAGCTGGCCCACGACGGTCCAAGCTTGAAGGCGGCCCACGATGCCTCGAAGAGGGCCCAATATTGCTTCCAGATGACTGTCGAATGGGGCTCCAAGAGGCAAGCATCGTCCCATTTCCTGCGGAAGACGTTGATGGTTAACATACTCGCCTTTTTCGTTTCGACAGCGTCCAAGACGGCCCAAGGAGCCCAAACTATCGCTGCAAGACAGCCCATGGTCGGAGGCTCCAGAAGCCCCGGGAGCGGCGTTGACGAGCTCGCCCCCCCCCCATCAAACGGCATTTTGGACCCCAAGGGAGGGGAACGGGACGGGGGTGACAGCCAAATCTTTCACACGCCTTGTGAACCCTGGCAGGCGAGGGTCGGCGGATTTAGCACTTCGCGCGCTCCGCCGGTCCATCCTTGCATGAGGATGTTGTTGGGGGGGGGTCGTGGGTTTGTGCAGGCCGTCGTGCGAAGCTCGCGCGGGATAGACGCAATCGATTCGCTTATTGAAAGCATCCTTCAAGCACGTTCCGACCCAAGTTTCGTCACCGAGGCCCGAAATGTGAGAGGCAATTTGTTACGAACTCCTTCCTAGACAGTCAGAACATTTTTGCGGGCTTTTGGGCTCTCTGGGAGACTTCGGGGGGTTGCTGTGCCCTCTGAGGGCCTTCTTTGGGAAAGCGCGCCACTGGATCACTCTGTAATTGAAAGGGGGGGGGGTGTTCGGACCCCCCCCCACTTCAAAGGGGGGGTGAGATTTTCGACCCCGCCCCCCCCCCTGGCGCTGGAAAGGGGAGGGTTCGAACCCCCCCCCTCTCCCCCCCTATGCGCCGGACAGAGAGCCCGGGAGGGGCCGCTCCCGCTGCTCCTTTCTGCGCTGGAGAAGGTGGGTAGGGAGTATGGAGTAGGGAATAGCAAATAGTGAGTAGTGAGTGGTGAGTAGTTATTGTGAGTAGAGAGTGAGCAGTAGTGAGTTGTGAGTTGTGTGCTGAGTAGTGAGCAGTGAGTAGTGAGTCGTGGTGGGTAGCGAATAGAGAGTACCGAGTATTGAGTAGGGAGCAGTGAGTAGTGAACAGTGAGTAATGAGTAGTGGGTAGTCAGTAGTCAGTAGTGAGTGGTGAGTAGTGAGTCGTGGGTAGTGGGTAGTGAGAAGTGAGTAGCGAGTAGGGAGTAGCGAGTAGATAATACTTAGAAGCGAATAGTGGGTAGGGAGTGTCGATTAGCGAGTAGGAACTAGGCAGTAATGAGTAGCGAGTACTGAGTAGCGACTAGGGAGTAGCGAGTATTGAGTAGTGAGTAGTGAGTAGGGAGTAGTGAGCAGTGTGTAGAGATATGTGAGAAGTGGGTGGCGAGTAGTGGGTAGTGAGTAGTGAGTAGTGAGTAAAAGGTAGCGAATGGTGAGTAATGAGTAGTGTGTGGTGAGTAGTGAGTAGTGACTAGTGATTCGTGAGTGGGGAGTTTTGGGTTGTAGTGATTAGTGAGCAGTGAGCACTTAGTAGTGGGTCGTGGGTAGGGAGTATTCAGTAGACACCAGCGAGCAGGGAGTAGCGAGGAGTGAGTAGTGAGTAGTGCGTAGTGAATAATGAGTAGTGAGTAGTGAGTAGTAGTGAGTAGTGATTGGTGAGTCGTGTGTAGTGAGTAGGGAGTAGGGAGTAGAGAGTAGTGAATAGTGAGTAGTGGGTGGTGGGTAGTGAGTATTGAGTAGCGAGCACCCAGTAGGGAGTAGCGAGTAGCGAGTAATGTGTAATGAGTAGCGAGTTGAGAGTATTGAGTAGTGAGTACTGAGTCATGAGTAGTGAGTAGCGAGTAGGGGTAAGTGAGTAGTGAGTAGTGGATAGTGCTTAGTGAGTAGTGAGTAGTGGGCAGTGAGAAGTGCGTAGTGAGTAGTGAGCAGTGAGTAGTGCGTAGTGAATAGGGGGTAGTGAATAGGGAGTAGTGCGTAGGAAGCAGTGAGTAGTGAGTAGTGGGTAGTGGGTAGGGACTGGTGAGTATCGAGTACTGTTTGGGGCTGGGGTTAGGGGTTGGGTTTAGGGTGGATTAGGGTTGAGGGTGGTGGGGGGGGGCGGTTTCTGGAGTCAGGGGGCGGGCGTGGCGAAAGGGGGGGGTCGAATTTCGAGCGCCAGGAAAGGGGGGGGGGGATTCGGAACCCCACCCCCCGTTTTGAAAGGGGGGGAGGGTTCCCCGACGATTGACCAGGAAAAGGGGGGGGGTCCCCGACGACGGACCGGGAAAGGGAGGGGGGGATTCCCGACGACGGACCGGGGAAAGGGTGGGGGGCTCGGGGGTCCCACCCCCCCAGTTTTGGGAGATCCAACGGTGCGCCCGCCTTGTTTGAGCCTCTTGGGGATTGTATTGGACCACTTGGGTTATCCTTGGCCACGAGGTTCCAAAGAGCTAGCATTGACGTGACAAGCTCGTAACACCTGGGCTCCCAAGAGCCAGCGGGTGACATGCACAACTCGTAACACCAAGGCTCCCCAGAGGGAGCGGTGACGTAACAAGCCCTGAACACCAAGGCTCCCAATGTCCCATAGTGACGTGACAAGCTCTTGACAACAAGGCTACCAAGAGCGAGCGGTGCCGTAGCAAGACTTGACCACCAAGGATCCGAAGAGCGAGCGGTGACGTAAAAAGGTCTGAGCATCAAGGCTTCCAAGTACCCACAGTGACGTGGTAAGCTCTTGACACCAAGGCTCCCAAGAGCGAGCGGTGACGTAAAAAGCTCTGGACACCAAGGCTCCCAAGAGCTCACAGTGTCGTGACAAGCTTTTAACACAAAAGGCTCCCAAGGGCGAGCGGTAACGTAAACATATATCAGCATCAAGGCTCCAGAGAGCGAATGGTGCCATGAACCATGTGGCATTTTGTTCGATGAATAGGTGCGTTGGTATGGTGCACTGTCGGTTCGCGTTCTATTACATGCATGTGTCTGCGTATTCCGCGCCTTGTCGCACGTCACAGTAAATACAGCTTACCATTTTTGTCAGTCCCATGTTCAGACTTCTGAGTCCGATCATCATATACATGCAATTGCAGGCACACGATGCTCGTGACAGCTGGGTCGACACGAATTCGAGCAGTAGACATGCAGGGTCGGGTGATCTCGAGACCTTCCACGTTGCCTGCGTGGCCATACGGTTGGCCCTGTGGTTTCCAATCGTTGTTTGTTTATGATGTACCGTGTTTGCCTTCTCTCGCCGCATCTTCTGTTGAATGCGCAAGCATTGCAAAACAAGCCGCTCGGTCACAGGGATTCCAGAAGTTGCAAGAGGGTAGAACGGTCGCGGCCGGAGGCTCCCTCACCTTTCCCGCCAGAGCATAAGAATGAGAAGCGCAAATTGACATCTCGACTGCTGAAGATGGCTTGTAGTCCTTCTCTCCCCCTGCGTCTTTCCTCGCCATCCCAGGTGCTCATCGTCCCTCCTCCCCTCGATTCCCCCTCTGTTCTCCCCCCTCGCGTCCTCCTCACACTCCGCTCCGTACCTCTTTTTTCCATCATGTCTTCCCAGTCGTAGCTTTTCCTCCTGGTCAGCTCCAGTTCGGCAATCAGTCCGCAGGACGATAGTCACGGCGGGCTCCATGTGGCAAACGCGCGCGCAAGTCTCCCGATCAGGGGGATCCGAAGAAAGACAAGGGGAGCAGGAGGAGGATGAAGGGATCGGGGGGGCTTGGATTGGGAGGTGGCGAAGAGGATGGCCCCCGCTGAACCTTCCAGAACGCACCGGAAGTCCGTCAACAATCGGACCCTTCTCTCTTATCCCTCCTTCCATCCTCGCCCTTCCTCCGCTTCCTTCTCATCCTGGAATGGCGAGCACACCCGACACCTGCAAGAATGACAACCTTCAAACCCTCTCCATCCGAGGAGGAGTAGGAGGAAGAGGTAGATCGTCCTAGGACTTCCTTGGGAAGCTTAGCACTCTCACCCTCGCACCGAGGCCCCCCTTCCGCGAGGCGCCGTTGACGAGGGCGTGCTGCCCGACTTCGTCCAGGTGCGCGTCGAGGACCGCCCCGGTCCATGGGTGAGCAACTGCGGTCAGGCCGTATCAGAAGGACGAGTAGCTTTCCAAGAATGTCTTTGCACCCCTGCTCTTCGGGCCGTCCTGTCGCTTGGCCACGGGCCATGGGTTTCCAAGCTCGGAAAGAGCGTCTTCTGAGTGAGCTGGGAGGAAGTCAGGGAGGGGGGTACGACCCATTCCCCTCGAAACTGAAAGTCCGGGGTGCCCCCCACCCTCAAAAGTCCAGGGGGGGTCGCCCCTCTTGGCACCAGCAAAAGACGACGACAACGAAGACGACGACGACGACGACGACGACGACGACGCAGAGGACGACGACGACGACCACGACGACGACGACGACGTGTCCCGCCCGCCCGCCCGCCCTGGCGCCAGCAAACGACGACGTCAACGTGTCTCGCCCGGCCGACCGACTAGCACACGACGACGACGTGTCCCTCCGGTCTGACAGACTGACCGACTCGTCGGCGGTGGCAACGGCGACGGCGACGGCGACGGGGATGTCGTCGTCGTCGTCGTCGTCGTCGTCGCCGTCGTTTGCTATCGGCGAGAAGGGAGGAGGCTTCCAACCCCCCTCCCCCGCCTTTTGGGAGGGGGGTTGGGGGTAGTGGTTTCCCTTCTCGACAGGATGGGGAGAGTCTTCGGAGGGGGGGGTTCGGGTTTCGGTGGGAATGTGGCTGCTTTTGCGATCAGCGCAGCGTCCACAGAAATCGCTCTCTCCAACTTAGCCTCTTCGATTGGGTTGTCCAAGTTGACTTGCATCCTCATGCACCGCGCATCCTCATGACCTGGGCACACTGCAGGGAGAAGGGGGTATCATGACCAAGGCCACGAAATCACCCAGCTCTCATGGCTTCCGTTTCTTTCAACGTGCACCACGGGCTCCCCTCGTCTGCTTGGGACGTCCTGGCCTCGGGAGGGGAGGGGGGAGGGGCTGATGGGGAGGGAGGTGGAGAGAAGGAGGAGGCGGGAGGGAAGGGGCGGAACGAGCAGGAGGTCCACGCAAGCGGGCGCACAACTCGGGGGAGGGAGAGGTGACGGTGGGGGGGCGGGGCGTCCCGTCCTTGGTCGCCGACATGGACCGGCGGCGGGGCGGGGGCGCGCGCGCGCAGCGCAGCGCGCGCAGGTCGCACCCATCCCGCGCTCGCACCGCGGAGGGGGAAAGAGGGAAAAGAGGGAGAGAAACCGGGGGAGGGCGGACATGGAGGAGGCTTGGCATCGCTCGGACGTGGGCAGGTTTGGGGGGCGAGGACCATCAGGGGACATCCTGGATCATCTTGCGACAAAGCCTCGCGCGAAGCCGAAACGCGCACGGGGAGTGATGGCGAGTAGCGGGTAGGACTCCCACCCCGGGCACCCTTCTCGGGCCGCCGCCCCTCAGCGGCGGCCATCTAGGCCTCCCAAGTGGGGTCCGGGTAGACGTGGTCGGAGGATCGCACCGCATCGCCGATGCATCGCCGATGCGGCTCGATGTGCCGACGCATCGCCAATGCATCGCCGACGCATCGCCGATGTATTTTCCGATGCGGCGCGCTCCTCCGACCCCATCTACTCGGACCCCATTCGGGAGGTCTCCAGGCCAACGGCGGGGGGGGGAACGTGTGCCCCCAACCTTTTACGCATCGCCGATTCGGGCTCGGGTGACCCGCCCCTCCACAGGAGCCGTGCGGGCGTTGCCATGTTGGGGGCTCGTCGCCGATCCATCGGCGAGGTATCGCCGCCTCCGGGGCGGGTGTCCCGCGCTGAGCCCGTGCGCATCAGCGTGGAGTTTATATCGTGTGTCTCTCCGCCTGTGGGGGTGCCGTGATGCTCTTCGTGTCAGGTCATCTTGAACCATTTTGATGAGGCCCGTGCGGCATTTTTACGAGGAAGGCGAGAGGGCAGGGGAACCGAAACTGGAGGGCCCTGAGGGGCGACACCCCTGGGAAAGTCTTCACGTGTTGGGCCCCCAGAGAAGATACTCGTTCGACACTTCGCCAGCGTCTCGCCCGCGTTCTTGGTGCCCGAAGTTTTTTGCGGACGCTGCCTTGAAGTGCGACTGGAACAGAATAATGAACGCCAGCGGAAGGGCAGGGCGGGGGGGTGGTCGCCGCTGGTCGTTCAGGCATGCTCAGAGGCGGTGACCGGGCGCATGATGAGCGCCAGCGGGACAGGGGTCGGCGGCGAGCGAGGGGGGGGAGTGAGAGGGGGCGGGCCTTCTCAGAGGGCTCGGAAGTCCCCCGGCCTTCCGAGAAGGTTCCTAAGCCTTCCTCGAAAACATAAGTCTTCTCAGAAGGCGCCAGGGCTTATGAGAAGTCCCACCGCCTTCTGAGAAGGCCTTCTCCTTCTCACTTCCCCCCCAGGGCTCCCCGCCGATTCGAGGGGCTCGAGGCGGGGGGAATGAGGGGGGGGTCGGGGAGACGTAAGACTCGGGTACGGGGGACTCGGGTTGACAATGATGAAACCACACCTGAAATTTGATGCGAACTCCCGCCGCAGACATCCGACGGTAAAACTGGACCGCCCAGGACGCGCTCGCCAAAAAGCGCCGGCAAGCCCGAGCTCTGGCGCACCCGAGCCTTTTACGCTTCCCCAGGAGAGGGGGGGGGCGAGACGAAGGAGAGGGGCAAGACGCAGCCAGCACGAGGACAAATTGGGGCCAGGATCTGGCGAGATCTGGCGGGGCAAGACGAAGGAGAGGGGCAAGACGAAGGAGAGGGGCGAGACGAAGGAGAGGGGCAAGACGCAGCCGGGACGAAGTGCAGCCCTCGCTCGCCGCCAAAAACGCGGGGGGACGCCGTGCCGCCGGCCTCGCCCCCGGCCGGCGCCCCGCCGCGCGGCCGCCCCCTCGCCGCCTCCGCCCCGGGCCCGGCTCAGGCCGACCGGCCGCGTGCGGCCGCTGCGCGCCGCAGCCCCCCTGCGCCGGCCCCGGGGGGCGGGGAGGCGGCGAGGGCTCGAGGCGGCGAGGGGGCGGCCGCGCGGCGGGGCGCTGGCCGGGGGCGAGGCCGGCTGCTCTGCGTCCCCCCCTCTGGCGGCGAGCGGGGGCTGCACTTCGTCCCGGCTGCGTCTTGCCCCTCTCCTTCGTCTCGCCCCCCCCCTTCCTGGGGAAACGTAAAAGGCTCGAGTGCGCTGGAGCGCGGGCTTGCGGGCAAGGGCTCGGGCACTGGCGGGGCGTCCCGGCTTGCGAGAAGTTCTCAGAGCATTTCTGGCTGGGACGGTCTTGTTTTAACACGTCGGTTCATGTTCTAAGAGCATTGTTTTGGTTCTTCGAACATTTTGGGGCTCTAAGATCATGTCGTGGTAGGCCTGTAGGAATGCCGGGACGGTCGGCCCCTGCTCAAAGGATAGATTCGTTCCAGAGCGTTCCGGAACGCTCTCAGTCGGAGGATAAAACGCCATAAACATTAACTTTTTGGCGCTCCGCGTGGACTTCTTGGATCCGCGCTGGGCCCCCCTGGCAGCGCCTACGGCGCCGCCCCTGGCTCGCTCCGCGCGCCAGGGAGGGGGGTCCAGCGCAGATCCAAGAAATCCGCGCGGAGCGCCAAGAGTTTATGTTTATGCCGTTCTTCTTCTAAAAGCGATCCGGAACGCTCTGAGAAGGCCGCGGCGCCCGAGACATCATCCAGAGCCGCCAGATGTCGCCAGATCTTGGCCCGAATTTGTCCTCGTCCTGGCTTCGTCTTGCCCGTCTCCTTGCTTGCCCCCCCGGGGAAACGTAAGACTTCAGTACTCTGAAGCTCGGGTTTGTTGACGCTTTTTGGCGAGCGCGTCCTGAATTTGATGGTCCAGTTACCATGGGATGTCAGCGGCGGGAGATCGCGTCAAATTTCAGTTTTGGTTTCATCATTGCCATGATGTCCTGGTCAGGACAACCCGAGTCCCCCGTACCCGAGTCTTCCGTGTCCCCGACACCCCCATCCCCCCCGCCTCGAGCCCCTCGAATCGGCGGGGAGCCCTGGGGGGGAAGTGAGAAGGAGAAGGCCTTCTCAGAAGGCGGCGGGACTTCTCAGAATCCCTCTGGCCTTCTGAGAAGTTTTCTGTGTCTTCGGGGAAGGCTCAGAAAACTTTTCTGAAGGCCAGGAGACTTCCGAGCCCTTTGAGAAGGCTCGCCGCTTCTCTCCCCCCTCGCTCGCCGCCGACACTCGAAGACGGGAAGGAGGTTCTCTCTCGGCTCCTGGGGGCCTGCCCCCGAGGTCGAGCAGTGCGCTCCCCGACTTGGGCCGAGTGTCTGTGAAGCGGCCTGCCTGGAGCAGGACAGCCGCATTCGAGTCTGCTTGACCCAGAAGGGGGTCCAGCGAGAAGGGGGTGGTGCAACAGATTTGGTGCAATAGTTTGTGGGGTTGCAATAGATCTGGAGCGCAAATGGTTAGATTTTCGTGTGCAATACATCAATCTCAATACAATGCAATACAATGCTCCGGCGCAGTACTTTTGCAATACAAGTGCCCCAAATCTATTGCACCACCCCTTTTCAGTTGGACCCCTTTCTGGGTCAACCGAATTGATGGAACCAGAGCTTCGAATTATCCCCCCGCCGCGAGGCCGCGCTCGTGCGTGGCAGCGAGCGCCGGGCGCGCCGGGCCGCGCCACCGCGCGCCGGAGGAGCTGTGCGGCAGGATCTCGGACCTGCTCGCGCGGAGGCGCCCCCTGGGGGAGCGCAGACGGGCCCCGGTACGGTTCGGGGATGGACAGACCTCCTACTCTGACACGTCGATTAAGGAATTGGCCGTTTTCGGTTCGCGAGAGGGCGTCGCGGCCGTCATTTTTGCGGGTCCAGGTCCGTCGGTTTCGGTCCCAGGTCGTTTTCACTATACTAAAGGGAGGTTTGTCCACCGCCGAACCAGGACGATCGAGATGGGTAGGGAAAAAATTGGCACAGTGCCCAACAAATGTTGTCCCAGACCGCAACGGCCGCTGTTGGGCAGGCGGCCTTCTGTCTCGAATGGACACAGGCCGCGGCGACACCAACAGCGAGTCCTGTTCAAGATGAACAGAACTGATGTCGGTTTTTGAACCCATTCTTTCCGCACCCCTTTCGATCTTCCCGATATGAGATCGAGGCCGGTCTGGGGAGGGTACTGAGGAAACCCGTGCCAAGAAACACATTGCTTGCCTCCAGGGTGCCCTGGGTTTCTTGGATTTCGATGGTTTTGCTATGGATAGCGTGACGCTCCCACACCAAAAATCAATGGACGTCCTGGGGTCTCAGGACGGGTGGGGTTGGGTTTCTTGTGGAAGGTTTCTAAGGTTCGGGGTGTTTTTGGCCGGCGGAGGGTCTCGTGGTCTTGAAGGATGTTCTTCTGTCCCAGGTTCGACGGTAGCTCGCTGGAGGGGAACGGGTCCTCGACCATGGGGCTTTTTCCAGGACTGGCTCTTCATCCTTCGGGAGCTTTGAGCTCTGAGGCGGGAGTCCATGCGACCAGGGTTCGGCCAGAGAGCGCCAGACCTTGCAAGATCTTGGTTTTTGATTTCAGAAGCCATTTTTTGAATTCAGATCCAGATTTCTGAATTCAAAAAGTTCCTCCAACAAAAAAACAGATGCAGGGCTGCACTGACCCGGTCTAGCGCGCAGGATCCTGTAGGATTCGGCAGGATCCTGCAAAGCTCAGCCACGCGCAGAAGGAGGGTACGGGGGAGGATGGAAGGCTTCTCAGAAGCATCCTCCTTCTAAGAAGCCTTCCCCCCTGCCCTACCCCCCTCTGCGCGCCGCCAGAAAGCCCGACTGACCCTGGTTTGCATTGGGTCAGGTCAGTAAGAAGCCGGAATTTCCTGACTGCCCCAGGGCCTGCGGAGGTACCTCCTGGGGCCCGAAGAACGCGGAGCACGTCCCCTCCAGGACCCGCTTCACTCCTGCTGTAGGTGGCACGGGGGCCCCAACAGACAGGTCGAGGCAGCCGTCCCCTCGGCGTTTTTTTTTTTTTTTGATTATTATTCTTCTTCTTTTTTTTGTTCTCTCTCTCTCTCTCGTTCTCTCTCTCTCTCTCTCTTTGTTATTTGTTTTGTTCTCTCCCTCCCTCCCTCTCTCTCTCTCTCCTTTTTGTTCCTTCTGTTTATCAGCATATTCCTATACATACATGCGTACATACGTGTGTACATATATATATATATATATATATTACAATCTTTTTTGTTTTCCCCCTTGTGTAGTATAAATAAATTAATAAATATATATTTATTTTATTATATAAGAAAGAGCGTGTTCTACCGTGCTGCGGAGAAAACGGGTGGCGGTCACTACCGGTTCGAAACCCCTCCCCCTCCCCCCCCCTGGGAAAGCCGGGAGGGGTCACATACGGTTCGAACCCCACCCCCCCCCCCCAGCTCATCATGAAAAGGGGGGGGGGTCACTACCGGTTCGAACCCCCCCCCCCTTCGAAAACCCAGTGGGGGTGCGGACAGAGGTAGGGGCGGTGTTGGTGGGACAGTGGTGAGGGGACAGCGGGACAGTGGTGGGGACAGTGGGACAGTGGGACAGTAGAGGGCCGGTAGTGGTGGGGACAGTGGTGAGGACAATGGTGGGAACAGGGGGGACAGTGGACAGTGGTGGGGACGGTGGTGGTGGGGACAGTGGTGTGGGCACAGTGGGAATGAGGTCGAAACAATGGGACAGTGGAGGGTACAATGGTGGTGGGGACAGTGGTGAAGGCGGTGGCGAGGACGGCGGTGGGACAATGGGACAGAGGTACATGGGGGACAGTGGTGGAGACAGTGGGGACAGTGGTGGGAACAGTGGGACAGCTCAGTGGGACAGCGGCGGAGTCAGTGGGACAGTGGGGACAGTGGGGATAGTCGGGCAGTGGTTGGGGCCGTGGAGACAGTGGGGAGAGTGGAACCGTGGTGGGAACAGTGGTGGGGACAGTGGGGACAGTGCGACAGTGGTGGGGGCACTGGTGGGGACACAGTGGGGACAGTGGTGGTGAGGACAGTGGTGCTGGGAACAACAGTGGAGGATGTGATGCGGACGGTGGTAGGGACCGGGAGTCGTTTGCTGGCGGTGAGTGGGGGGGTAGGGAGGGGTTCGAACCGGTAGTGATCCCCCTCCGGTTTTCGAGGGGGGTGGGGGGGTTCGAACCGGTAGTGACCCCCCCCGGTTTTCCGGATCCGGAGGGGGGTGGGGGGGTTCGAACCGGTAGTGACCCCCCCCGGCTTTCGAGGGGGAGGGGGGGGGGAGGAGGGTTAGGGGAGGTGGGGGGGTTTTTTTGCCGGGGGAAGGGGCGGGGCGGGGGAGGGAGGGGTTCCAGCAGGGGGGGGGGGGGGGGATTTTCGGAGGGGTGGCGGGGGGGGCGACCCCCCGGGTTCCGGAGGAAAAGGTGGGCAATTTTCCAAAGTAAAGCGGCGGTGGATCACGCTCTCTCATATGGTCCCCTTGGGAAGCCATCCCTCGGGGCCCCCGGATTCGCCAAAGAGCGGTGCGGGATGAAGGACCGGCCTGGGGAAAGGGGTCGAGAGTCACCACTCACCAAGCCGCCCCAACCCAACCCGAAGGCCTCAATTTGCCCTCCACTCCCAGTGGGGGGGGGGGGGGCGTCAGGGGAACACTGAGAACACACGTGTGGAACCCGTACCCCCCCCCAACCCGAAATTCGGGTCTTCGGGTTGGGTTGGGGCGGGTGGTCTGGCAGGTCTTCAGGGGGGGGCAACGCTGGCGGGGATGCATCGACCCCCACCCGCCCACCCGTCGCCGATAGGGGCCTCACAGCCCGTCCCGTGGGGCTCGTCGCCCCTCTATCGGCGGTGTATCGCAGAGGCAAGCTCGACGTTTCGCCCCCTGCACTGTTTCCCCCCCAGCGGCTCGCCTCATCTAGGATTAAGTCGGGCATGTCCTTCTACAGGAGGACTAATCAAGAATGGTAGCAACATAGTCGACGATGTTTCGTGTTTTTCTTGTTTTTCGTTGACTATGTTGGAGTATTGTTTGACATGGTTTATCATTCGCACAAAATTCGCCTGTAGGGGGACATGCCCGACCTAAATCTAGGGTACCCATTCTTCGAAAGACGGAGCGCTCTGGAACGGCCGTGCCGTCCGAGCACATCGCTCTCTCTCTCTCTCTCTTTCTCTCTCTTCTCTCTGGAAGCTAGGGGAAGCAAAGTGGCGACGGGCTCGCCCAGACGGAAGGCGGCGGTAGCAAAAGCGAGTCGTCAAGACTTTGGCGATGCGGGGTTTCCAGATTCGGCCAAATCGAGCCGCTGGATGCCTGAGGGAACGGAGGCTCCAGGCGCCATTTCGCAGGTCTTCGGAGGTTCTCGATGGGCTGTCGGTTGCTCTCGGGGGTCCTCTGTTCTCGGCGGTCGTCGGATTTTTTCGCGGGCCTTCGATGGGCTGCCCGTTGTTTTCGGGGGTTCGCGGAGGTTTTCGGGGCTGGAGTGGTAGATGGTTTCCCTTACGTTTCCGGAGGTTCCATGACATGTAGGGAGGGTGGGGGATCAGGGCAGCCTCAACGGGTGTTGGAACAGCGGTGAGTGTTGGGTCCGGAGAGGGCTCTTCCTTTCGCCTTTTACGAAGGGATGGGCTTTCGGCCCATCCCGCGATTGTGCCTGAGTTGTTGGCCAGAGGCCTCTTGGATGTCTGTTGCAGTCTCTTTGGATGCCTATCGGGGGCCTCTCAGGAGCCTCTTGCGGCCTCTTTGGGGCCTCTTCGGCGCTTCTGGGGTGCTCTTGGGGGCATGTTGGGGGCCTCGGGAGCGATCATTGGGAAAACCCCCAAGACGCCTTCGCTTTCTTCCCCTTGGTCCTCCATTGCGTTGATGCCGCCTGTGCCATCTTAGGGGCCTCCTGTGCCCTCTTGGAGCCCTCTTGAGCCCTCTTTGACCATCTTGGGGCAACCATGGGGGCCTCTTAGGCCATCGTGGACGTTCTGAAGCAGGAAAACGCGAGTGTGCCAACATCAATCAAAAACGAAGGAAGATCAACATTGCGTGCGTCTTGGGGCCTTCTTGGAAGTTCTCTCGGGCCCTCACCTGGGGCGTCTCGGAAGCTTCTAGGGCCGTCTTGAGGCTGTCTTGGGGCTCCTTTTGGCCGTGCCGGGGCCCTCATGAACTGTCTCGGGGCCATCTGACTCTCTCGGGCCGGCGTGGCGCCCCCCTGGCCCCCGGAACAACGCGGCAAGCCTCGGGAGGCGCGCGCCACGCCCCCAGAAATGCGTGAGGTTCTGGGCCTCTCAGGGAGCACTCGCAGTACTCGGCACAGAGAGCTCCACGGGGCCCGAGGACGCCCCGCGCCCCTCCGTCGCGGCGTCGGGCTTCTTTTGTCAGCAGCCCTCCGGAGAAGCGTGTCGGTTGCTCCCAGAGGGCACTTCTGACATCCAGGACGGGCCGTGGCCTGCGAGGCACCGCCTGCTGCGCCCCTCCGATCATGGGGAGCGGGGAAGGCGGCCCTGGCGGCGATGGGTGGCACGGGCGGGGGCGCGAGGCGGAGAGAGCGCGCCCGGGACAGAAACCGTAGGGGCCGCTCGGCTTCGATGGGCATAATTAGCTGCGTGCCAGGCTCTCTGACTAAAGCCGCCCGTGCGCCTCCCCACAACACAAAAACACAGGGTCGCAGCATCATGGTGCTTCTCTTCGCTTCCATTCCTATTCTTTATAGACAACTCCTCCCTGTCGCACCCCAAGGCCTGTCGAAAGGGCGGGCCGGGCGTTTCGCCTTAGATTTCCCCCCATTTCCGACCCTGAAGCTGAAAACATGATACCAGCTTCACAGACGGAGGGCGTGTTGTTTTCAAGATGTGGCTCTCGCTGCAGAGCCGCGTGCGTTCATTGAACAACTTTGCAAAAGTTTCACTGATTGAAGGCGGGCCGTCTTCAAAATGCAGCTCTCGCCTAAGCGCCGTGCGCAATCGTCTTTCAACATTACATGAGCTTCACGGATTGAGGGCGGTTCGTTTTCAAATTGTGACTCGTCTTAGCGCCGCGCGCATTCGTTTCTAAAAGTTTGTAAGAGCTACACATTTTGAGGGCGGTTCGTATTTACACCTGTGACTCTCGTCTTAGCGCCGCGCACATTCGTCTTCAAAGTTTGCAAGAGTTTCACGGATTGAAGGCGGTTCGTTTTTAACATGTGATTATCGTTTTAGCGCCGCGCGCATTCGTCTTAACAGTTTGCAAGCGTTTCACGGGTAAAGGGTGGTTCTTGTTCAACGTGTGGTTCTCGTCTTAGTGCCGCGCACATTCGTTCCAAACGTTCGCAAAAGGGTTCACTATTCCCATCGTGAGCGTACCAGAAATGGTGTGCTGGACCAATCCATAATTGTCAGGGCGCAACAGTTCCGTTGATTCGTTGTGTTGATGTCCCAGGAGTGGCGTTCTGGCACGATTCAGGATCGCCAAGACCTCACATTCAGGTTATTTTGTTGCGTTGAAGTCCTGAGAATGGTGTTGGGGTGCTCTTCAGGTTTTTACACGGTTGCCCCCCAACGGGGCAATCCTCTCAGTGGGAATGATTTTTCGTAGGGATTTGTGAAGAGGGAGCTTAGAGGGAGGGCGTATTCCAATATCGTCGATGAGTCTTGAGTTTACATTGGTCCTTCTCCTCCTCCTCCTCCTCCTCCGCCTCTAACCCCCACGAAGCCTCCCGTGCCTCTTTGCCCCTCAGACCTAGGACGGGCCAGTCTCAGTCCTCTCGCGGCCTGTGCAGGACGGCCCTCCAAGATGGTCCAGGAGGGCCTCGAAGACGAGCCAGAGCATGGCAATTCAGGACATGTCGGCCCAATATGGCCCTAAGACGGTCCAACAGGGCCCCCATACGCCCCAGACGGCTCCAGACTCGCAGAGGGCGCCCCAAGGCAGATCTTAAGAGGACCCAAGGGACCCTCCCCGCGTGGGCGTACATTGGTCTTTGATTTCCCATTGATGCACCCCTCTGGTCTTCTCATGATTGTGGCGACCTCTTTTTCAGGCTTCAGAACTCCTAGGACGTCCCAAGAGAAATCTCGATGAAGGAGGACCGCGAGCAGGACGACGACCAGGGAATCGGGCGAGAGAACGAGGATAATGATGATGATGATGATGATGATGATGATGATGAGGAGGAGGAGGAGGAGGAGGAGGAGGAGGAGGAGGAGGAGGAGGAGGAGGAGGAGGAGGAGGGTAGCCTCTGCCGTCGCCGCCGCCGACCCGCCGTCGCCGTCGTGTTGCAGGTTCCCGCCCACCCGGGTCCTGGTCTCCTGCGTCCACCTCGTGCGCGACTCCCTCCGGCGCCTTCACGCGGCGAGCCCGTCGCGCATCGTGTTCTTTTGCTTGTTTCTGTTTCTCTCTGGCGGGGGAAGGGCGGAAAGGGAGGAGGTGGAAGGAGGTGAGGCGGAGGAGGAAGTGGAGGGGTAGGAGGAGCGGAAGGATGAGGGTGAGGATGAGGAAGAGGACCATTGCAAACCCAAGACGCATCAACGCTGTTGCAGTACACCCAGCCACCAAGTTCCTTCTTCTCACGTCGCGAAATGAATTTACCGTGAAAGCCTTACTGCTGGTGCCGCCGCCCAGAACGACGACGACAACGAAGACCATGACGACGACAACGACTACGACGAGCTGATGACCCTGCCACAAGCTCGGGACATGGGGCGGGCGGTGGAGGCAGGAGGGGGAGCAGGAAGCGGAGGAGGAGGAGGCGGAGGTGTACGAGGAGGGGGAGGGAAGGGAGGAAGGAAACGGCATGAGGAGGATGATGAGGAGGTCGAGGAGGAGGACGAGGAGGAGGACGAGGAGGGAGGACGAGGAGGTGGTAGGCGGAGGAGGAGGAGAGGACGACGTGGACGAGGACGGGTGAGGAGAGGAGGAGGTCGAGGAGGAGGAGGGAGGGCGTGGAAGGAGGAGGAGGAGGTGGTGGTAGGAGGAGGAGGAGGGAGAGGAAGTGGAGGGAGGAGGTGGAGGAGGAGGAGGAGGTGGGAGAGGATGGGGGAGGATGGGGAGGAGGGGGAGGAGAGGAGGAGGAGGAGGAGGAGGAGGAGGAGGAGGAGGAGGCGCGTAGGAGGAGGTGGAGGTGGAGGTGGAGGTGGAGGAGGAGGGGAGGAGGAGTAGGCGGAGGAGGAGGAGGAGGAGTGAGGAGGAGGAGCAGTGAGGGGAGGAAGGGGGGAGGAGGAGGAGGAGGAGGAGGAGGAGGAGGAGGAGGAGGTGGGAGGAGGAGAAGAGGAGGAGGAGAGGAGGAGGAGGAGTGTGGCAGGCACACACATACACAGGAGGTAGAGGAGGAGGGAGGAGGTAGGAGGAAGAGGAGGAGGAGGAGGAGGTGGAGGAGGAGGAGGGGAGGAGCTTAGGGGGGAGGAGGGGGGGATGGGGGGTATGAGGTGGAGGAGGAGGAGGTGGAGGAGGAGGAGGAGGAGGGCAGGAGGATGGGAGTATACTGATGCTTAGGAGGAGGAGGCGGAGGTGGAAAGGGGTTGAAGGAGGTGGAGAGAGGAGGAGAGGTGGTGGCGGAGGAGGAGAGGAGAGGGGAGGCGGAGGAGGAGGAGAGGAGGTGGAGGGGATGGGAGGAGGTGGAGGAGGAGGAGGAGGGAAGGTGGAAGGGTGGAGGGATGAGGAGGTAGAGGAGGAGGAGGAGGAGGAGGAGGAGGAGGAGGAGGAACGGACGAGGAGGAGGAGGAGGAGGCGGAGGAGGAGGAACGGAGGAGGAGGAGGAGGAGGAGGAAGAGGAGGAGGAGGAGGAGGAGGAGGAGGAGGAGGAAGAATAAGAGATGAGGAAGAAGACGAAGAAACATACGAATAAGAAGCAGTGAATACTAGTCGGGAAAATATTCAGAAGACGGAACACATAGTAATACGAATAATATCCATAACCACAGTAGTAAGAGGCTGAACAATACGAGTAACACAAAGACTATGAAGACGAATGTCAATACGACTGCTACTAAGAAGACAAAACAGGCTAATACGAGCAATAATAACCGAGTGCCCCGGATAATACAGCCCACCCCCTGAATCCCCTCTACGTTTTATCCCGGTTCAATAGGGTTTAATTTTTGAGAGGGGCGCGGAGGCCGAATTTGATAATCCAAGGGTGCCGAACCTGCATGGGCGAGTGGTTTGAAGCCGTGCGCAAAAGAGTTCTCTCGGCCAGAACGGCCAAGGACCTCTGTTGCGCAGGCAAGTTGTAGCCACGAGTCTCGAGATATCTCGAGTCAGTCATCTGCCATGATCTGCACGGTCAGTCTACACGAGCGCCCAGGATCACCATCATCATCATCATCATCATCATCATCATCATCATCATCATCACCAGCAACATCATCGTCATCATTACCTTCATCATCATCATCATCATCATCACCATCATCATCATCATCATCATCATCATCACCACCATCATCATCATCATCATCATCGTCGTAACTTATACCTAACATCACCTTCCCCGGGACAATCGTTGATTATCCCCGCCAGACCCCCGAACTTTATTACCCCTGAGTGATTATCATCCAGGGTAGTCGATTAAGCATAATACGAACATTAAGAACACGAATAATAATATTAAAAAATACTACTTTTACTACTACTACTACTACTAATACTAATAATAGTAATACTAGTAATAATAATACTGGTAATAATAGTAATAATAAGAAGAAGACGACGAATAATAATAATAATACTAATAATCATAATCATAATAACAATAATAACATAATAATATATTAATAATAATAATCATGTAAATAATAATAATCATAATAATAATGATAATAATAAGAATAATAATGATGATGATGATACGATTGATAATAATAGTACTCATAAAAAATAATAATAATAAGAATACGAAGAATAATAAGAACACGCCTAGGAAGGAGAGGACGAGGAGGAGGAGTGGGGGAGGATGAGGGGGGGAAGGAGGGGAGGATAGGGGTTTAGCGAGGGGACGAGGTGTGAGGACGAGGATGAGGAGGACGAGGAGGAGGAGGACGAGTGAGGAGGACGAGGAGGAGGACGAGGAGGTAGCAGGAGGGAGGAGGAGAGAGCAGGAAGGGAGGGGGGCGGATAAGGGGAGGAGGAGGAGGAGGAGGAGGAGGAGGAGGAGGAGGAGGAGGAGGAGGAGGAGGAGGAGGAAGGGGTGTAGGAGGAGGAGGAGGAGGAGGAGGAGGAGGAGGATTAGTACGGGCTGACATTTTGGTTCAAGATTGGATTCCCCGTTCGCCGATTCCCTGGGGTATGGCTGTGCGAAAGGGGGGGGGGGTCGAAATCATAACCCAAAACTGGGGATGGTACGGATCCAACGGACCTGAAAGGATGCTCTCCTGCAGGCAAATTTCCTACTGGTCCGATTGGTGGTCCTCCTTACCCTCCCTCCTCACCCCTCAGCCCTTCTTAGCGAGCCCTGGCTCTGGGCTCCTAGGGGGCGGCATCCCGAATGGAAGTGAACTTGCTGGGGCAGAGGTCCACTAAGACGCGGGAGCCAATGCATGCCAACGCCTGCCAATGCATGCCAACCCATGCCAACCCATGCCAATGCATACCAACGCATGCCAATGCGAACCAATGCAAACCAACGCATGCCAATGCATGCCAACGCATGCCATTGCATGCCAACACATGCCGATGCATGCCCATTCTTGCCAATGCATGCCAACGCATGCCAATGCGTGCCAACGCATGCCAATGCATGCGAACGCATGCCATTGCATGTCAATGCATGCCAATGCATGCCAACGCACGCCGGTGCATGCCAATGCATGCCACCGCATGTCAACACATGCCAACGCATGCCACTGCATGCATGCATGCCACTGCATGCCAATGCATGCCAATGCGTGCCAACGCATACCAATGCACGCCAACGCATGCCAATGCATGCCAATGCATCGGTGGGGCCCCAGCATGAGGTGTCAGGACGTGAGGGGCCGAAGCCCCAGCATGAAGGATCAACGCATGACGGGCCGATGCCCCAGCATGAGGGGGTCAACGCATGGGGGACCCAGCCGAGGCCCCAGCATGAGGGGTCAGGGCATGAGGGGCCGAAGCCCCGGAATGAGGGGTCAACGCATGAAGGGGCAATGCCCCAGCATGATGGAGGTCAGCGCATGAGGGGCCAGCCAAGGCCCCAGCAGGAGGAGTCAGGGCATGAGGGGCCGAAGCCCCGGCATGAGGGGTCAACGCATCAAGGGTCAACTGGTTCGGCCGACTAGGCCATTCGGTAAGGGGATTGCCGCACAACGCTTCGACAGGCCATGGGAAGATACGTTGCAAATCAAGTGCGTATCATTGGCAAGCTTGATTCTGTCCCTCCTCTTCTGCTTCCTCCTCCTCCTCCTCGTCCCTGCGCTCGCTTTCATTTGCGGGCCGAATTTCGTGACATGTTCGTTGCGTGTCGTCGCGCTTCTGAGCTTTGCGATGGGTGCCGTCAAAGCCCCCTTGAGGGGATGCGGACTCAATGCGAAGCCGGAGCTGTGGTAGTTGGTGGGCGTTTGCGGTTGGAAGAAAAAAAGGACCAATGCCCCAGCATGACGGGCTCAGCGCATGGGGGGCTAGGCAAGGCCCCAGCATGAGGGGTCAGGGCATGAGGGGCCGAAGCCCCCTCATGAGGGGTCAACGCATGAAGGGCCAATGCCCCAGCATGAGGGGCTCAACGCTTGGGGGGCCAGTCAAGGCCCAAGCACGAGGGGTCAGGGCATGAGGGGCCGACGTCCCGGCATGAGGGGTCAACGCATGAAGGGCCAGTGCTCCAGCATGAGGGGGTCAACGCATGAAGGGCCAGCCAAGGCCCCAGCATGAGGGGTCAGGGCGTGAAGGGCCGAATTCCCGGCATGAGGGGTCAACGCATGAAGGGCCAATGCCCCAGCATGAGGGGGTCAACGCATCAGGGGCCAGCCAAGGCCCCAGCATGAGCGGGTCAGCGCATGAGGGACCGAAGCCCCGGCATGAGGGGTCAACGCATGACGGGCCGATGCCCCAGCATGAGGGGATCAACGCGTGAGGGGCCAGCCAAGGCCCCAGAAAGAGCGGGTCAGGGCATGAGGGGTCGAAGCGCCTCGGCATGAAGGGTCAACGCATGAGGGGCCGATGCCCCAGCATGAAGGATCAACGCATGACGGGCCGATGCCCCAGCATGAGGTGGTCAACGCATGGGGGACCCAGCCGAGGCCCCAGCATGAGGGGTCAGGGCATGAGGGGCCGAAGCCCCGGCATGAGGGGTCAACGCATGAAGGGGCAATGCCCCAGCATGATGGAGGTCAGCGCATGAGGGGCCAGCCAAGGCCCCAGCAGGAGGAGTCAGGGCATGA